AATTGCGAAGAAACCCAAGCTAAGAAGGTACATTTAAGAATAATATGGCATCTTAAATTAGTCATTTAAGTCATGACTCTTGATTATTTAAAGCATATAGAAACGGCAACTAGCCAATTGCTTCATATATACAGATTAGCTGATAAAATGAGTTTATTCAGAACGATGGCCACTACAGGGCGACTTAGTGATCCAAGATCGGTTAGTTAAGCAATCGAAGGTATACATGGCAAACAAATGTGAACTGGGTTTAAGTTCACGAAAAGGCTTTATAACTCATCGTTGACTGTAATTTTCATCTTGCATTGACGAACTCTAAACCTAGACATCAAGTTCAAGAAGTTCACTATTCAAACATACCACCTGAGTGCCAGTGATTTAGAGCAGGTATAAAATTTAAAACAGGAAAGCTTATTCTCGGTTCAAAATTTTGATAGACTTAAAACGACATAAACATTGGTTGGAAAGACATTAACTTACTATGGAGCCAGTTAACTCAGGAAAGATTGCAGCAAATTTTTTGTTCAGGATATCCCAGGCATCTATAGAAAAATGAGGACGCCATTAAATTAAGTTGCCAGCAATATAAAAATTGTGGATAAAAGGAGTAATAAAATTTTCAAGGAGCATGTGGAATCATGAAAACAAGGTGATTAGAAACAATGGAATGATGGTTTATCAGTATAACATATAGAGGATAAAGCAGAGCAAATATAAGCATAAAATATAGCAGACAAATGCTAATTAAAATGAAAATAATTCATCTACCTTGGAGAGAAACAGGTTCAAGATTTTGTTTAAGGCGATCTTGGAGCCCAGAAGTCTCACTTGAATACACCATACTCTCAAATTTATTATTATTATCAGTTTGAACCTTGCATACAGTATCGGAGGGGCTAGCATCCATAGTATTGCGCAAAACAAGAGGATCATCAACTAAAACAGCTGATTTCGAAGTGGCATTTTTTAATAACGATTGCTCTAGCAATTTTTCATTGTTAGCTTCGAAAGAGTGAGTCTTTATTTGAGTTTTAAGATCTTCAAGAGGGGCAACTTCTGGTTTCAAGGGAACATCTATATGTCGGGAAGCAGGATTTAAAATCTGAATTGTCTCAATTTGTGCTTCAACGGGTAAAGAAAGTTCTTCAGCTCGGTTGTGATTATCAGAGACAGCTAAAGGCATTGGGGAAGATTCCGACGAAACTAAATTGGTCGAAGATTTCTCCTCACCATGCATATTGAAAGGGACTTCTTCTTCATGTCTGGCCAGCCCTTTGAATGAACTTTCACCATTTGCGAAGCAACTAATAGGCCCTAAGGTTTGATTAGGACCATGGAAAGGAGATATGGAACCCGTAGAGCAAGCCAATTCCACATTACTTGGCTGTATCCAGTTCGAAAGATGACCCCTGCCAGCCAAATCTAGCAGCGCCTTTGTGTGCAACTCTAAGCGAGAAGTCAGTGCCTGTGTAGAGGTCAAAAAAACATTATAAGCTGATGATACTGGGTTAAGGCTCAGCTCACATGGATGACGTGAGGACGGTTGAAAACTGAGCTGATTGACTTTAATTAAATTGTCTTTCTGATCACACGGCGAAGTGCAAGACTCCCCTGAAGCATGCTCAGTCTCATTCACAGATTCGACTGCGAGAGATCTGTTAGGACGGAGAAGAATAAGTGTTGATGGGTCAGGATAGCGTTGTGGATAGCAGGGAGAGATTGAGAAGCCAGCCTGAAAAGGGCCGTACCAAACCAAAAAGCATAAACGATGAACCAAAGTAATTATGATGAAAAAACAATTAATAGCTCAGGGTATGCATCGCTTTTCGTCAATATTATAATTTAATCAAAAGTGAAGAGATGCCTTGGCAGGGGTAGTTTGAAATGTGCCAGGCAAATTTACTCCTGACTGAGCCGAGATAATTTAGGTTCAATTGCACACGAATACCACAGCAAAATATAATACAAAAACGAGTCCCAAAGTTTCCCAATGACCTTTACCAAGTTATAACAACCAAACGATATCTTATGTGATCCATGAGGATCTAAAAATTATTAATATAAATATAATACGAAGAGAGAAAAATCGGATAAGTTATAATTCTTAGAAATTGAGGAATAGCAACTAAAATGTTCTTTTCAGCTATTAAATACCATAAGCAAGGGGCATGATAAAGATGACGAATTACTTATCAAAAGTTTAGATAACAATAAATAATAATATAAAGTATTGTCATATAGAAAATATAGATATGCTGAGTTTTGGAAGCTAACCTCAACATTTGCATTATTGAAGAAAATATAAGCACCAACCTGATGAGCCAAGAAAATTAATGGATTGTTAATCGCATTTTCTACTCGACAGAATCGAGTTCCAATCAAATCGGCCAAAACAATTTTTGAATCTTCTTGCTCGTTTTTCTAAAAGGGGAACCATAGTTACAAGAGTTAACTAAATAGGTACACTAAAACCAATAAAATGATATCCCGACAAGTTAATAGAATTAGAGGTTGTTTAACCTTGTTTTTGCAACTTTTTCATATTGGTAGGAAGACTAAGAGGGACTTACCTAGTCCGGAGTCCATTGTATGCATAATACTTTCCAAAGTCGGACTCTGGACGTGTTACATTCTCAGTGAGTGTCGTTATCCTTAGCACCATAGTACAGCTCGTCAAAGAGACAAGTGAAGCCGATCATTTTACCAAATGTGTGCTAAACAGTTGTAGCGTTTCCCCTTCTGCCTTGGGCTATTCACATTTCCTATATCCTCCTCTCACGCCTTCACTGTAACACTTTTTACCGTGCTTATTTCGATGTAATGTGGTGTGTTCCTTTGTGCAGCATTCATGAAAACCCTCCACACTCCACGTTGGCATTCTAACCTCCCTCCACCCTTGTCCTGAGAATGCCATGTTGTTACGCCGTCCTCCTACTCTAGGTTTTATCAGTCCCCTTCTTTCCCCGTAAGATACGTCTGCTATCTCTCTGTAATGAGATGTATTCACCCTATTTCGTGTAAGGTGATGAAGGACTGGTAGTAGAATTTTCCCATCTCA